CAGACATCCCAGGCAGATAGTAACAGCCAATTGGCTGCTGTCAAAGTGCGTGTCACAAACACAGATCTCTGCCCCTCTCTCCTCTGTAGCGTTTTGTGAGGCTAGAGAGACAGAGATCGTGATAGTTTGTTGCAGCAGAAGTGTTCCAGAGCTTTATACAGTATCTAAAGTGAATAAAAAAATCCCTTTTAACCCCTTCCCTGCAAGATCTGTTACAGCAGTGCATTTGTACTGTCTGTATTTTTTTCCCTTAAAGGGTTAAATTTGTTTGAAAAATCAGTGTCTCGGTCTGTTTTGGGCTGTCTTAGTCAGTCAGTTTCCTTCCCCCAAACAGGAGTTAGTTAAGGGATTGCTGTTTAGTCTGTTTTAGTCAAAAAAAAAAAGAAAAAAAAAGTATAAATTTTTTTAATGTGTTTGTAATTTGTTTTAGTCGTGTGTAAAACATGCAGCATATGTATAACTTGCAGGAGGCATATGCCTTCTTGGCGTAGATTTTGACCCAGGTCAGTTTTCTGACACGTCTAGTCAAGACGACATGTCATCTGTGCGTGAGCCGGATGAAGAAAGAAGCTGTGCTTCCTCTGCTACGCCGAATGTGGAGGAGGACTGGGTACCTCCACAGTTAGCCGAGCCCAACGTCCCCCCTTTTAATACCAACGCAGGCATTAATATTAATGTGGATGACTTCTCCCCAATGCAGTATGTAGAACTATTTTTAGGGGATACAATCTGGGAGGAGATTGAATCCCAGACTAACTTGCATGCTACCCAATTTATTGATAACAATCCAGGTAGCAATAGAGTCAGGGAGCATGACTGGCGTCCCACAGATGTCCCAGAGCTTAAAAAATTCTGGGCTCATCCATTGTGAAGCTGCCTTCAAAATTGATGCTGTCCAGGAGGTGGGAGGGTCTGGGAGGAAGGGTCAGCTGCAGATTGGCCGGGATGTGTCTGCTGACCGGAGTCCGTGGCGAACGGTTCGTGGTGAACCGTTCGCGAAAAGTTCGCGAACAGTTCACGACATCACTAATGATAACATTATAAATATATATTCGGGGCCAGCACAAACACTTATCTGGAAATCTATTCATAAACAGGGCTATACATAGGACACGAGGTCACACATTTAGGCTGGAAGAAAGGAGATTTCATCTAAGGCAAAGAAAAGTTTTTTTTACAGTAAGAGCAATAAGGATATGGAATTCTCTGCCTGAACAGGTGGTTTTGTCAGAGTCTATACAGATGTTTAAACCGCAATTGGATAAATACTTGCAAAAACATAACATACAGGGATATAATTTCTAATTAGTGGGGTAATAGCTGCTTGATCCAAGGAGACATCTGACTAATATTTTGGGGTCAAGAAGGAATTTTTTCCTAGTTTGCAAAATTGGAAGCGCTTCAGACTAGGATTTTTGCCTTCTTTTGGATCAACAGAAAAAACATATGTGAGGAAGGCTGAACTTGATGGACGCAAGTCTCTTTTCAGCTATGTAACTATGTAACAAACACAGACATACAAACATACACACATACATACTGAAATACACACACATACATATACACAGACAGACATGCATACATACACATACTGACATACATACATACAGACACATACTGACATACACATACATACTGAAATACACACACACACACACATACATACAGATACATACATACAGACAGACATGCATACAGACACATACTGACATACACACATACATACATATACAGACTGAAATGCATACACATACATGCAGATACATACATACACACAGACAGACATGCATACCATGTCTGTCTGTGTGTATGTATGTATCTGCATGTATGGGCCGAATGGTTCTTATCTGCCGTCACATTCTATGTTTCTATCACAGTAAAGGAGTTTAAGCATGCGTGGGATAGGCATAAGGCTATCCTAACTATAAGATAAGGCCAGGGACTAATGAAAGTATTTAGAAAATTGGGCAGACTAGATGGGCCGAATGGTTCTTATCTACCGTCACATTCTATGTTTCTATGTTTCATACATACACATACTGACATACAGACAGACACATACTGACATACATACACACACACATACAAACTGAAATACATACACATACACACATACATACATACATACAGATACATACACACAGACAGACATGCATACATACATACTGACATACATACTGCATTACATACTGACACACATACATACTGACAGACATACATACACAGATACTGACATACATACATACATACACACATAACTAATTTTGCTTACCTTTTTTTGCAGGAGGGTGACTGTGGTTAATGGGAGTCGGCGTGGCTCTCGCGGTCTGTCTCTCTTCCCTCCGGTGTGGAGAGAGCTGGGAGGAGGTGACAACCTGCCTCTCATTACTTTGCGGCTGCAATTTTTTTTAAGGGGCCCGGTCACGCTATTGCACGGCAGCAGCGGTGACCGAGCCTCTGAAGATACAGGGCCCATCGGGTGGCCCTCGGTGCTTGGGCCAGGTTCAGGACCCTGGCAGGACAGATCCAGCCTGCGGGCCGTAGTTTGAGGACCCCTGGTCTAAACTATACCCCGGTGGCATTTTGGCTACGTTTGTGAGATCTGAGCCATTTTCATGTTGGGCGCTCAGATCCAAGCTATCCGGAGATATAGCACTTGAGGGGGTACCTCATTGTTAACTGTATGTTTTGGGGTGTTTTTGATATGTATGTCCTGGACCTGAGAGGTAATGTAATTAGGTTGTATACTTTGTAGCAGTCTACTCTCAGGTCCAGTGGGGAATGCCCCTGGAATATGTAAAAGGAAACCCCTTGCATGGGGATTAACATAAAAGGCTGCGTGTGGTCCCATTAAAATCAGTTCAGCTTCACCCTCAACACAGAGCCTCTTACCTGGTTTGTTATCGCTTGGATTACTGCTTGGGAATACTTCAGCATTCCTCAGACTAGGGGGAAAGGACATCCCCGGCGGCGGAAACCCCTCTTCTCTCGGGGTGGACACTACACTTACCCTGCTCCTTCACCTGCTCGCTGCTCCCTCTGGCCTTCAGACTCTCCTGCATTGGCTTCACCTGCACAGTGGGTGGGAGCGCTTCTGCTCAGAACACCCTGAGGTCAGCCTCCGCATTCCTCCTTCTGCTGCCTGGCCGCTGCTCTCGCTATGAGGGTAGGTGGCACCCCCATAAGGAGTGGTACCCGTGGCGGACTGTCCCCCTATTTGTATGCTACCGATTGGAGAGATCAGCAGTGTCAGGTAAGGAGAATGCTGAGGTTCGTTACACAGTAATTCACAGAGGGAGCTCAGACAGCCACTTTGTATCGCTTTGCTACAAATTGACTGTGTGATTTCAAAGTTGCTGTGGCTTCCCTTTAATACGACAGCGTCTGACGTCAGACACATGGACGGGGTCCGATCAGCGAAACCCAGGTCTGAGACCCACTAAGGGGCTTGGGGGAGAAACTCTAAAAAAAGAGGCACACAAAGGATTTGGGCAAGAAAGAGACATACAAAGGGGCTGCGAGAAGAAAGAGAAAATTCCAAGAGGCTAAATTATAAAGTGTACTAATAAGTTAAAGTAAAGAACAATTACATCTTAAAGTGCTAGTGTCTTATAATACTTAAAGTGCCGTTGTCTAATAAAAGGTGAGAGTCCTTTTCATGCAGTGTACACTGAATCCCTTGAACTTAAATTGAAAACCTGAAACAAAATTCTCAATCAGTGTATTGTCAAAGATGCTTTCATATTCATAAATGCCATCGTGTAAAGTGATTACTTACTAATAACGCTAATTAGTATTTTGAGTATTTTAAGGTGCATGACATAAGTGCAAGTGGGAGAACATTTGGAAGTGTGTTTCCCAGCTAGAGAAGTGCAAAATACTTAATTTGTAATTAATGAATAGGAAATAGACATTTCCAAGATGCCAGGGGTAACAATAAAGTGCATAATAGTATCACAGTGGGAATAAAAAACAATTACATCTTAAAGTGCTAGTGTCTCCCAATACTTAAATAGCCAGTGTCTAATAAATTCTATGCTTTAAAGATGTTGTAGAGGTAAATAGGGGTACAAGCAGCTACACCCTCTACACATTTGTTTTAATTAAGCCTCTGCTCAATGCAGCCACGTCCCTGATCCCTGCTAGATGGTGTTCGACGGAGGTGCCCACCATCCCAGCAATGGAGGCCTAAGGTGGTAGAAGAAATTTACAAAAAGAGATGCTTACAGCATCTCTTCATGGGCACTCCAAACACTGCACCCAGACCTGGGCATGATTACATGTCATGCGGACAATGGATCATAGATAGGGCCTGATGTGTGGGGTGTGGGAAAGGCCCTCTTTTTAGCTCACCATCTATTCTAGATGCTTCTTCCAATATTCTTCCCATATTAGCTGTGAGTCTTTCCAACTGAGGAAAATGCCACCTTGGACACGGATGTTGACAAGGGTATGGTTGCCTGCACTTGACTCTGAGCAAGTTGTAGAGGTCATGTCCCAATACTCTAATACGAACACAGCAGAAGGTTTTGCCTTTAGTCTGATATCATGTTGACATAAACTGATTAATTTCATGTCTCTGTACACCATGGGAGGAGGTGGGGAGAAGTGAACTGAAAAAGTTAACATTTAGAACATCAGAAAGGCTTTTATCCTGTGTGAGTTCTCTGATGATTCACAAGCAAGGATTTACTGTCAAAACATTTTCTACATTCTGAACGTGAGAAAGGCTTTTCTCCTGTGTGAGTTCTCTGATGTCTCTCAAGGTCTGATTTAATGACAAAACATTTCAAACATTCAGAACATGAAAATGTTTTTTCTCCTGTGTGAGTTCTCTGATGTCTCTCAAAATCTGATTTACTGCCAAAACATTTCTCGCATTCAGAACATGAGAAAGGCTTTTTTCTTGTGTAAGTTTTTTTATGATTCACAAGCGCGGTTTTACGGTTAAAACATTTACTACATTAACTTAAGAAATATTGTAAAAATATGTGCTGTTTGTTACTCTGATACTTGTGTATTATCTGCAGATATATGTATTGCATGCTAAAATAAAATAAAGATGCCTTAAAAAAAAACAAAAAAGCATCAAAAAGGATCAGAACAGAGTCAATGTGATTGGATCAATATCATTAATCATAAAATGGTCAATTGCAATTCGGGCCATTATGAGGTCATTTAGCATTTAATCTATTAATCTATTATAGAATTGCTGTAGATGATGAAATAATGAAGAAACAAAAACATTTTAATTTTACAATCAGCATATAAAAACAAAGATGACATTTGCCACTGATATACCATACAGAATAAGTATCAATTCTAATTATACTCTTAACCGTATATAAGTGGCACCTATTGCTAAAAAAAAAAAAAGATGAGCGTTATTATTTACAGTTTAATATGATAAAGGCTTTGCTACAGTGTGAGAAGTTGGGTAGTCAATGAAATTTGAATCACAGTTTTAGTATCTCACATTCACAACACAGATGTTCCAATGTTAATCCATTAATGCTTCAAAAAAACTTAGTGTTGACCATAACATTTCCAATATTCAGAGCATCGGAAAGCTTCCCTTCAGTGTTCTCTGACTGCTATCAAGATGTGCATGCGGGTCAGAATATTTACCACATTCAGAACATGTGCAAAAATTTTCTCTTATGTGAGTTCTCTTATGGTCAGAAGATTTGAGTGCCGGCTAACGCACTTCGATCAGAACACGAGAAAGGTTTTTCTCCTGTTTGAGTTCTCAGTTACCTCATGTTGGGAATAATACACTTTGCCTATACTGACCCAAGGCTCAAGCTACAGATGACCGGATGTTCAGTCTGTTTAAGATTGGCTAACTTGGAGCATGTCATCTATTTGAAATAATATACTTTATCTATATCCAATGCTTAGTGAATGTACCGCTACACAAGAGCTATAGAAAATCGTGCTCTAGAACAAGTGTTAGTGTTATATCCTGTGTGTTTCTGTCTGTCGGCCTTATTTCCTGTTTTTCTCCCTTTGATCATAAACTGCATAGTAATGTGTAATTTAGAACTTTAGAATGTTAAGATAAGATAGATGATTTTGTTAGGGTTGGATAATGCTTGTAAGACCACCCCTATTTCCTCTTGAACATAACCTGTTACACAGCTCATTAAACGCTCAGAAGTCACTTTGTCTTGTATCATTCATTGGGGCTGGTGTGGGGATGAGGAGAAATACAGAGAGTTCCAAATTGATACAAAAGACCATGGCAAGGGGAAATTCCTGACAGAGAAAATTCCTCACTATCACCTCACAAGAACAAATGCCAGTCAAAGCATTTACCACATTTAGAACACAAGAATGTTGTTTTCTCCTGTGTGAGTTCTCTGATGATTCACAAGATATGATTTGCTGACAAAACATTTCCCACATTCAGAACATGAGAAAGGCTTTTCTCTTGTGTGGGTTCTCTGATGATTCACAAGCGCAGATTTACTGTCAAAATATTTTCTACATTCAGAACATGAGAAAGGCGTTTCACCTTTGTGAGTTCTCTGATGATTCACAAGCGCAGATTTGCTGTCAAAATAGTTTCTACATTCAGAACATGAGAAAGGCTTCTCTCTTGTGTGAGTTCTCTTGTGGATGATAAGATTTGAGTGCCGGCTAAAGCATTTTGAACATTCAGAACATGAAAATGGCTTTTCTCCTGTGTGAGTTCTCTTATGGTAACTAAGATTTGAGTGCTGGCTAAAGCATTTCCCACATTCAGAACATGAGAATGGTTTTTCACCTGTGTGAGTTCTCTGATGAATCACAAGATCTGATTTACAGACAAAACATTTCGAACATTCAGAACATGAGAAAGGCTTTTCTCCTGTGTGAGTTTTTTGATGTCTCACAAGATCTGACTTACTGACAAAACTTTTCCCACATTCAGAACATGAGAAAGGCTTTTCTCCTGTGTGAGTTCTCTGATGATTCAAAAGGCTTGATTTACTGAAAAAACCTTTCCCACATTCAGAACATGAGAAAGCTTTCTCTCCTGTGTGAGTTCTTTGATGATTATCAAGAACTGCTTTCCAGAGAAAACATTTCCCACATTCAGAACATGAGAATGATTTTTCTCCTGTGTGAGTTTTCTGATGTCTTGCAAGATCTGATTTACTGACAAAACATTTCCCACATTCAGAACATGAAAAGGGTTTTTCTCCTGTGTGAGTTCTCTGATGTCTCTCAAGATCTGATTTACTGGCATAGCATTTTGAACATTTAGAACATGAGAAAGGCTTTTCTCCTGTGTGAGTTCTCTGATGATTCACAAGCAAGGATTTACTGTCAAAACATTTTCTACATTCTGAACATGAGAAAGGCTTTTCTCCTGTGTGAGTTCTCTGATGTCTCTCAAGATCTGATTTAATGACAAAACATTTCAAACATTCAGAGCATGAGAAAGGCTTTTCTCCTGTGTGAGTTATCTGATGTTTCAGAAGAACTGGTTTCCTGGCAAAACATTTCCCACATTCAGAACATGAAAATGGTTTTTCTCCTGTGTGAGTTCTCTGATGTCTCTCAAAATCTGATTTACTGCCAAAACATTTCTCGCATTCAGAACATGAGAAAGGCTTTTTTCTTGTGTGAGTTTTCTTATGATTAACAAGCGCGGTTTTACGGTTAAAACATTTACTACATTCAGAACATGAGAACACTTTCTCTCCTGTGTGAGATCTTTTATGTATAATAAGGATTGAACGATGTCTAAAGCATTTTCCACAGTCCAAACAAAAGTAAGGCTTCTCTCCTGAGTGAGTTCTCTTATGGCTAATAAGATGGCAATGCACACTAAAACATTGACCGCATACAGAACATGAGAAAGGTTTGTCACCTGTTTGAGTTCTCTGATGTCTCACAAGAACTGATTTATTGACAAAACATTTCCCACACATAGAACATAAGAAAGGTCTCTCCCCTGTGCGATTCCTTCTATATTTAATAAGACTCGAGTTCTGGCTATAACATTTCCCATATTCAGGACATGAGAACGCTTTCTCTCTGGTTTGAGTACTTTGTTTTGCAAGAGATGAGTTACGTGGAAAACATGAGGAAGGTTTTTCTCCTGTGCAAGTCTGGAAGTGGAAATGTTTTGAGTTTCTGTTTACTATCTCAGCTGTAGACATACATGTGTCTGAGCAATTCTTTGACTTATTCAGAGGATTACTTAGTGCACTTTTGTCCTTTTCATGTCCTTCTGGATATCCTCTGCTGTCAGAACCACCTGCAAGAAATGTATTTGAAGTTAAAGAAAATCTGCCACTCTAAATGATTCTTTTTTTCTTTTAACCAAAATATTTTCATGAAAGATTAGAAAAGTGACTATGTAGCATTATGGTTATTGTAGAAGACCTACTTAATGACCAATGACTGTCTACACAGTCATGCAGTGAATGATTTTAATACACAGTGACAGTATAGACCGCCATGCATTAAAAGTACCAGCAGGGGTTAAATGTCTGTTGGCACCAAGAACTCCACGTATCTTTTGAAACTTGGGGGTCCCCTTTATCATCTGGGGCCAGAATTATTGGTCCCAGATTGACCTATGTTTTGTTTGCAGAGCTCAAAGGGAGCACTCCAATCAGTGATTTAAATCCCCACCAGTACAATGCGGTGTTAACAGGGTTAAATCCTTAAAGGACCACTATAGTGCCAGGAAAACATACTCGTTTTCCTGGCACTATAGTGCCCTGAGGGTGCCCCCACCCTCAGGGCCCCCTCCCGCCCGGCTCTGAAAGGGGGAAAGGGGTAAAAACTTACCTTTTTTCCAGCGCTGGGCCGAGAGCTCTCCTCCCCCGATCCTCCTCCTCTCCGCCCCGTCCCGTCCCGTCGGCTGAATGCGCACGCGCGGCAAGAGCTGCGCGCGCATTCAGCCGGTCACATAGGAAAGCATTCATAATGCTTTCCTATGGACGCTGGCGTGCTCTCACTGTGAAAATCACAGTGAGAAGCACGCAAGCGCCTCTAGTGGCTGTCAATGAGACAGCCACTAGAGGAATAGGGGGAAGGCTTAACCCATTAATAAACATAGCAGTTTCTCTGAAACTGCTATGTTTATTAAAAAATGGGTTAACCCTAGCTGGACCTGGCACCCAGACCACTTCATTAAGCTGAAGTGGTCTGGGTGCCTAGAGTGGTCCTTTAACAGATTGTGGAGAGTTATTTGGGTGGAGAGAAACAACCACGTTAAACAAAAACCCAGTGGAGCGCTTAAAACAAACAAATGAAAAAATACCACAAGTACTCAGTCCCAAGTAGGATATATTCCAATGCAGTCCGAGACGCGTTTCGCCTTAAGCAACAGGCTTTATCAATCGATAATGAAAATGGTTTTTCTCCTGTGTGAGTTCTCTGATAATGGCCCTAATCAATTGATGATAAAGCCTGTTGCGTAAGGCGAAACGCATCTCGGGCTGCTTTGGACAGCATATATCCTACTTGGGACTGAATACTTGTGGTATTTTTTAATTTGTTTGTTTTTATATCCAATACTGTTTCTCTCCACCCAAATAACACTCCACAATCTGTTTTGCATGTTATTGTGTTACTGTAGAGTTACTTACATGAGTGTTGAGGGGCTTAAAAACTCTTTATGTGAATAATTTCTAAGCGCCTTATATTGACACAGTACATCTGTTTTATTTCTAGGGTTAAATCCTTGCTCACACCATTAAACCCAGGTATCGATAGGTTCCTGGGGCTCCTCTCTGTCATCTGGAGCCACATTTAATGGCCCCAGACATTTTTTTTAAACAGAATCAGCACTGTATATAGCCCTTTAAACCCATATAAAACAGTTGAGAAATCAAGTTTAGCCAAAGTGATTCTCTTAAAGGACCACTCTAGGCACCCAGACCACTTCAGCTTAATGAAGTGGTCTGGGTGCTAGGTCCAGCTAGGGTTAACCCATTTTTTTTTATCCAGGAGAGCGTATCAGGAACAGCTCTTAGAAGAGCTAAGTGATTAAAGCTCAAGGGAGTATGCAGAGCATAGCAATCCCCAGTGTGAATATAGCTGTCCCCTCCAATTACGAGACAAGACTACGTGTTGAGGGTCAAGAAGATCTCTTTTAATCAGCCCCAAAGGGCTTTCTTTTATGCAGATTTCACACTCCTAGTACCACCCACAGGGTTTTGTAAAACAACCAATAAAACACATAATATACAGTAAAACACTCCCATTCATTCCCACAAAATCCTCCCCTCTGCCTGTGATATAATTACTGTACACAATGGGTTAATGCAATTATCACAAACAGGAAAAATATACTTTTTACACATGTACTGTAACTTTACAACTATACATTCAATCTCCATAAAAAGCACATATTATTACTCAGCATACTTCAAATATGAACTCTCTCAAAAATCATACAAATCCCTCCAGTAGTTAAAAAGTTGGCCGGAAGTCCTTTGTGACACATTTTCCTGCCCAAAACAGTTCCATAGATTTGGGCTGTGCGGTCAGTCAATTTAACTCAGAAAAATGTCCTATTCGCATGCACGAACGGGGCACCATTTGTGCAAATAGCTTAGTCTCACTGTATGTTCAAATCGCTGAACGGGACTTAGACGCTGCGGCTGAAAACTGAGTGGAGGAGAAGGTAGGGTCAGCGGTGTTCGTTCAAATGTGTAGCCGATTTCAGTTCCATAGATTTGGCTGCACACACCGCTGACCGCGCTCGTCTGAATAAAGATGGCCGCTGCCACGTGTTCGTTTGTACGAACGGCAGCCACCCAGCGGTGGGCAATTTACCCACAGCAGCCTTCCGGCCTGGGAAGTAAATTAGAGAAAAAAGTGCTCAGTGTAAATAGGCGCTTAGTGAAAATGCAAATTAAAAACAGCAGCTCAACACACGTGCAGGTATCCCAATCCTACACAAACAGATATGTGAAAAAAGAGTGTGAACTTCGTAGATGTACTACCAATACAAAGATCACTCTGTGGAGCGCTAGAGATAGGGAAATATCTTACCCCTATATAAATATTGTATATATCACTTTAACAGCATATAAAATCTAGAACAGAGAAATACACATCATAGTGCAGAATGATTGTAAAATGTGTATGGAATGGAGGAGAGTGTAAGTCCAACTCACATGGCACAGAGCCTAAGGATTGGCTTGAATCACAACAGCTTGAGTATATTTAGGCAATACCAGACCTCCTCCCGATATGCAGCTAGCAAAATATATGGAAGAGAAAAAAAGGTAGAATTCCTAGTGCAAATACGTATGGTAGGAAGAGTGATCACAAAAAATCACATGAATGTGCTCACCTGAAATAGAGCCGATAATATGATGAAATACAGGAAGCAGTAGAAGATCCACTCACAGGTATGTATATATAAAAATAACAAATTTATTTTAAAAAACAAAGTAATAGATAAAAGCTATAATCAGTATAATACCAAAATAAAAGTCTCCAGAGTAGTCTTCCTCAAATCCGAGATGCGTTTCGCCGTGGGGCTTTCTCAGTCGGATAACAGCCATCTGTCTTTCAAAATACAATATTGCATACAGGAAATACAACATTTGTCGGCTGTGAACACTACGGGTAAAGATGAAGGGAATTCTAGTGTGTTGAAGTCATCTGGTATATAGACTATCAGACCGGTTGAGAGAGATTCTGGTTTTATGCTCAAGTAGGGAAGGTGAATAACCCCTTTGCATACATTTTTCAGTCATTTCACTCAGATGGTGATGGAGTCTGGATGGGTCAGAGACATTTCTATGTACCTGAGGAGAGACCGTATGGTAGTGGCTGGGTGAAAACTGGTCAAATGTAAAAGACTACAATGGTTTGTGGGTTTGGTGTACATGTCAGTAACAAGTTTGTGATTTTCATGGTAAACTGTGAAATCAAGCAAGCCAACAGTGTTGGGGTGATAGTTGATAGTAAATTGGATGTGTCGATTTACAGAATTGATGTAATAAAAAAATGCAAGAAGGGCATCAATTAACATATCCCATTTGCCTAAGATATCATCACCACCAAGTGTTAAATCGTAACCAGGTAATAAGTTAAACCATTCAAAAACTGTTTGACAACTTATATTTTAAGTCCTCAGGCATGTATGTCTCTGTACTTCTCTCTCCCTCCATGCTGCTCATCTCCTTCTCTAGATGTCTAGGTCATGACAATAGAGTGATGTTCCCATGTGAAATGACCAAATAAATGCTATGACATTCAATTAGGTTCTAACATGACCTATTTGAAAATCTGAGGTATAAATATGTGTACTTATTAATAGTAGGACATAGGAGAAAATTTTGGATGCAGAGACGATGCTCTATTTTATCAAGAGTGTAATTTTAACTTGTTCAAGAGTGTATGTTATTCTATTTTACTGATACTGCAAGCATATCTTTTATTCTTATACACTCTGCTATAAATTATTGTAATGGATTATTAAGTTTCTGTAGGTCTATATTTATATTTTTATAAGATATTTTAAAAGACAAAACTTTATTGCTTCCAAGACAATAATATTATATAGTTTAACCCCTTCAGACCGGAGGGCATCCTATTACGTCCTATTTTAGGTGGCTCTAAACGCCGCCGGGCGTAATAGTACGCCCTCCGGTTTTTGTTTACTTACCCGGTTGGGGGTACTCCCAGGGAGTCCAAAATGTCTCTCTGTTTAATAGCAATTTACCCCTGTCTCCGGCCCGTCTCGATGCTGGAATATGGTCAGAGAGACATTTTGGATTTATGAATTGGACACAGTTTACCCAAAGGGTTTGAATGAATATATCTCGTTCCATTCATTCTTGTAATAGGTTTAACGACAAGTGATGTTTGTTATAATGACTTAAGTTATGTAATATATTTATATGCATAGTTATAACCGAGTTATAACCCCAGCTATTGGTAGTTTGATTTTAGATATAAATGCTGAGATATGCTATTAAGAACAAAACATTTTTTGGGCACTTTAATCAGTAAGGCTAAATGAGCATAGCCCAATATATAGAAAAATGTTTAATCATTATATATGATTAACAGGAGGAGTTGTAGTAACAACCCTCAATATATAATGTTTTAGGTAATCTTGATCGCATGTCTTCAGTATTTGGATTTTTATATAAGTGTACATGTATTGTTATTATGTTATTATATTAGTATCAATGTTATCAGGTATATATTTTTTCTTTTATATATGGGGTTTAAAAGAGAATAGATTTATTTTTACACAATACACCATGCAATATTTTTTCACCAGCACTTACTGCACTTTTTTACTATTGATAGTTTGCACTTTATATATTTATGCACTGTCACTTTAAAATATCCAAATATGGATTGTTTTGCATGTCACTTTAAAATATCCAAACATGGATCGTTATGCAAGTGAGATTTATTTCACACTTTGCCCTTATGAGCATTACACTCAATTATATGCACTGATTCCCTAATAAGATGAATATATGGATGTTTCTATGCACTTTATTTACACTGATAATGTTGGCACTTTATAATGAACTGAGCAGATATAATATAAAGCTCGTTCATATTTGTATACATGATATTTATTTTATTATAAGCTTTATTCACATGTTTTTTGGTTTAGTATTTTTTGCACTTGGCTCCACCCCCCTTTTTTTGAAGACATTGACTGCGGCGATCCTTTGTTTACTGGTATCATCATGACAACTATCGTTCCGGTCAGGTTGCCGGCGTTTGGTTGTCCATGGTGATGCTATGTTTGACAACGTCGCCAAGGCAACAATCTAGCCGCGATGACGCGATGACGTCATGACGTCACGGCAGGGGGCGGAGTCAACTCGCACATGCGCACAGAGCGGGTCAGGACGCCGATTGAGTGGCGGTTTCACCTGGGGTAAGCTAATACACTTAATAGTTTTATGTATAAAAGCCTTGTATGATGTATATACTGTTTTTCATCTTTTTGATCCTGAGGAAGGTCCTGATAGGACTGAAACGTTGGTCGCAGATGTTTTAATTTATTTTCAATAAACTTGGATTTTTTATTTACCGTGAGTGCAGCTATTCGTTGGATTTTTGTATGGACGGCTATTACTTGCTGGCACCCGGGCAACAAGGGTAATTGGAGCGTGAGTGCGGGAGCTATTGGTATTTTTTATATATATACACACATATATTAATTCTACATATATTTATGTAATATTTTTACATAATTAGGTATCTTAAATAATCACAATTAGCGGGACCTGCCTGACAACCCATGCCGAAAGTAAAGGGAATTTAATTTGCTAGCACTATATTTAACCCTATAACTTTCCAAGACACCATAAAACCTGTACATGGGGGGTACTGTTCTACTCGGGAGACTTCGCTGAACACAAATATTAGTGTTTCAAAACATTAAAATGTATTACAACGATGATATCGCCAGTAAAAGTGAGTTTTTTGCATTTTTCACGCACAAACAGCACTTACACGGACGATATTATTGCTGCGATACTTTTTACTGTTTTGAAACACAAATATTTGTGTTCAGCGAAGTCTCCCGAGTACAACAGTACCCCTCATGTACAGGTTTTATGGTGTTTTCAAAAGTTACAGCGTCAAATATAAGGCTTGCGTTTCATTTTTTTCACATTAAAATTCACCCAGATTGGTTAGGTTGCCTTTGAGACCCTATGGTAGCCCAAGAATGAAAATTACCCCTATGATGGCATACCATTTGCAATAGTAGACAACCCAAGGTATTGCAAACAGGGTATGTCCAGTCTTTTTTAGTAGACACTTAGTCACAAACACTGGCCAAAATTGGCGTTTTTTGCATTTTTCACACACAAACAAATACTAACGCTAACTTTGGCCAGTGTTTGTGACCAAATGGCTACTAAAAAAGACTGGACATACCCCATTTGCAATACCTTGGGTTGTCTACTATTGCAAATGGTATGCCATTATGGGTGTAAATTTAATTCCTGGGCTACTATACAGTCCCAAAGGCAACATAACCAATCTGGCGAATTTCAATTTCAAATGTAACGTGCTATATTTGACCCTGTAACTTCCCAAAACGCCATAAAACCTGTACATAGGGGGTACTGTTTTACACGTGAGGCTTTGCTGAATACAAATATGTGTATTTTATTGCAGTAAAAGCAAACAGTATTATGACATTGACCGTTAAAATGTCATGTAGAACTAAAAAAATCAAAAAAAATCTTATTTTCTCCCATTTTTTTCATATTAAATTATGTTCCATAGCTAAATATTTGATATTAAATGAAAGCCCTGTTTCCCCTGAATAAAATGATATATAATAAGGGTGGGTGCATTTACTATGAAAGAGGTGAATTACGGTTGGACAGACATGTAGCGCAAATGCCAGGTTTTGTTCACAACGTGTACATTTGGCTCCGTCCTTAAGGGGTTAAATAGAGATCCTCTATTTAAAATATATAAATAACTGAGAATACAATAGGTATTGTCTTGGAAGCAATAAAGTTTTGTCTTTAAAAATACATGATTAAATAAAAATATACAGACATATTGTCATGTTTCTGAGCAGGTCAGAGAGGAGACTTATGCTGGGGTTGACTTGAGGTTCTTTATTTTGAACTTTAGGCATGTTTAGACAAGGAAACAATAAGAGTAACGGAATATAAATGGAAAAGGGACAATAAAGTCAGAGGGAGAAAGCAGAACCTATAAACGGGATTACAGGCAAGTATAATGGTAAGAGGAAACTCTATGGGTGAAATAATAGGTTAGGAGGAGTGGTTATAGAAATAACGAGTAAGGCAATAGGCCCCGGAGAAATAAAGAGTTAGGAAATATGCCCCAAGTAGCTCATCGGGTAACAGGTATAATAAGAGAGGAAAGACCTATACGAGAAATTATAGCTAAGACACAAACATATAATAAAACAGAGATAAACAGAATATGAAAGTATAATGAAATCAGGTTAAATAGACATTGAGTAAATAAGAGGACTTTGATTGACGGCAGTAATGCAGTTATAGATAATTGTAGCAATCAAGTATGGATAGTGATTGTAGCGGACTGGACCCTGTACCAAAGTCTGCCCCGGTTTCCTGGAGGGGACTGCTTGCTCGCCTCCTGCCCAGTGATTATGGTCCTGGGAAAATGGGACCCTTTAAACCCCTTGACTGGACCTAAGGGATTGTGTATGACCTTACTGGCCCTTTAAGAACCGGCCAAGGACATGTTATGACTTTTTGGGAACAATACCCCTTTAAGACTTGGTAGCAGATTACAGTAAGGATGTCTTTTATATTATGTATGTTCCTCTGTGCCCGGCTAAATTGTATATGTGTATGCAGCATTCGTCTGATTGTTCGGTAGAATCACTCCATTCATTATATTGAGTGAAACTACCGAACAGCCAGACCACCCGGGAATAAGTGTGCCTCCAATTTCTCGTTTGCAACATTGTTGCAAACGGGTAATTGGCAATCTGTGTAATGTGTTCTTTGTCCTCTGGGTGGCTGCCATTCGGGAAACGAACACAGGGCGGCAGCCATCTTAAAATCCCGAACAGCGGTGTTTTGCCGTCGAGTGTCTGGAACTAAAATTGGACACTCGACTAGGCAAACACCGCTGAAACCTCCAGACTTCCAGCAATTCGTGCAGAAACTACCGAACTAGAAATGATCCCACGAACAAGGGGATTCATACGAATCCTCCCCAAGCTCTATAACCCAGGCAATTCGTGTGTTTTCATTCCCTTTTCTGTGATCGACTGCAGGGCCAAAATGCATGGAACTATTTTCAGTCGGTCAAAACTTTAACTCTCCATAATTCCCGAATCCCTGGTCCGATCTGGGTGATTTTTGGATATGTGTCTCACCCAGATCGGGGCTACCAGGGGATGTAACATTTAAAGGTGTATTTGGGGTACATCCAAGAATTGGGGAAAAGTGTGTACGGTATAATTGTGTTAAGTGTTAATCTAAGGGGAGGAGATGTGTGGGAGGTAACAGGTATGGGATTGGCTGTTGTACTGATTATTGTAAATTCCTCCCTTGCATGGGAGAATGTCTTAAAAGGAGATGGTGTGAATAAACCTACAGTTCCTGCTTAACCCTCAAAGTGAAGTGTTGTCTCATTATTGGGGGAGGATTTATTGTATGCTGTTCCAGTTTGACTGCTAGGAGTGTAAGCCTATTCGCATGGTTTTTCCTATTCGGCTGTATACAACATTCATATGCTTAAAAGCACTCATATGCTTCTCCGGTTCGGTGATTGTGGTGTCTGCCAGAATGCTTGGAGTCCTCAGGAAACACTAGGAGCATCCTTCAACGAAGGTACCCAGTCGGGGTGCCAGGTGATCCGTTACATTGGTGGCAAGCGGTGGGATGGCGTCCTAGTGCGAGGTAAAGCAGCTCAGAGACACCGTTCGTGGATTTACAAATTGAAGGCGACACTAGTGTTTATACAGCGTCCCTGTCTACATAAAGATTTGGGAAAATGGGGTTTGTGGATCCTTGGGCAACACACACACCTGAGGAAGAGAGTGAATTAGAATGGAGAGATATTGCCCGGAAAGAATTATGGTACGATGCCCTGGAGGAAGTCCAGTATCAACGGCAGCAGCTCCTTCCTGGTGTCGCATACCAGTTGTAGGAACAAATGGCCTGGCGGAGGCCACTTCTGGGAGACCAACCCGGAGGGCAGCAGGTCAGACAACTTGAGTACCTCGTGGAAAGGGAACTGAGCCTTGACGCCTCATACCGGGCACTGTGGTGGTGCACTGTCCAGCCAGAGTCGTGGAGAGCAGAGGGCATCCAGCCGGAGGGGGAGAACTACACTAGCCCTGGCCTGTTGTGGAAGGCCTTAGCAGAAGACGTCGCCTTTGGCAGTCCAGCAGAGTCACGGTACTGGGCTATCTTTCATTACCGCGGTGAGATGGTACAGGGCCCGAGATCTATTGGACTGGGACAAGACCTCCGCCGTTTCGCTGCCATGGAACGAGAGCTAGAGATGGACTATGTGGAACTACTAAACTCATGTCAGCCGCAGAGCATGGACGCAGAACAGGAAAACTGGGTGGCGGACCCAGACCTGCCAACCTACAGTTGGGAAAACGCAGCCGAGGTACCCCCTGCTTCACTACCAGCTGCAGAAGTAGGGGACCTCATGGACTGGTCCTGGAGAGACCCACAGATGGCAGGTGGAGATGGGACCGAGATCTCTCTACGGGCCCTACAGGGATGCTGGGCAGTCGGCCCAGATCCCCAGCGGCAGAGTACATTACAGGGAGGAGAGACCACTGGTTTCACTCCCCAGCGGCAGTGTGTGTCCTTAGGAGAGGAGACAGTTGGTCCCTCTCCCCAACAGTCCAGTGAGTCCCAGGGAGCTGAAGGTGCTGTCCTTCCTTCCCAGCGGCAGTATGTTCCCCAGGGAGCGGAAGGTGCAGTCCTTCCTCCCCAGCGGCAGTGTGTCCTGCAGGAAACGGAGACAGTCGGTCTTGCTCCCCAGCAGCAGGACAAATTATTGAAAGGGGAGACAGTCGGTCTCCCTCTCCAACAGCAGAGAGTGTTCCAGGGAGAGGAACCGGTTATCACCTCTCCCCAGCGACAGGACAAATTATTGAAAGGGGAGACAGTCGGTCTCCCTCTCCAACAGCAGAGAGAGTGTCAGGGAGAGGAGCTTGTTATCCCCTCTCCCCAGCGGCTGAAAGGATGTATGGGAGAGGAGCTTGTTACCCCCTCTCCCCAGCAGCAGCCTAGCCCACCAAGGGGAGACAGTAAGCCCCACAACAGAACAGATGGGACCGTAGTCTCTGCACCTACATCACTGGAGTTATGGGCAGTCTGTCCTGTTCACTAACAACAGAACAATGTAGTGGAAGAGGAGGCAGTTTGTTTTCCCCTACTACAAGAGAGGACGTCGCAGGGAGGGGAGCCTGTTACCCCTTCTCCCCAGCAACAGCTTTGTCCAACCAGGAGGGAGAGCTCCCTGGTTACTTTTCCACCAGCCCATGGATTTCCAACTGGGCACATGGGGCAGGAGAACACATGGGGCAGGAGGGACAGCTACACCGGGTGAGAAAGGCCGACCGACTATCAGAGCCCCAGACCGATTGGAGGTCTGGAGTCTGGATAGTCTCTTTGGTAAAGGGGAGAAATGTAGTGGACTGGACCCTGTACCAGAGTCTGCCCCGGTTTCCTGGAGGGGACTGCTTGCTCGCCTCCTGCCCAGTGATTATGGTCCTGGGAAGATGGGACCCTTTAAACCCCTTTACTGGACCTAAGAGATTGTGTATGACCTTACTGGCCCTTTAAGAACCGGCCAGGGACATGTTATGACTTTTTGGGAACAATACCCTTTTAAGACTTCATAGCAGATTACAGTAAGGATGTCTTTTATATTATGTATGTTCCTCTGTGCCCGGCTAAATTGTATATGTGTATACAGCATTCGTAAGATTGTTCGGTAGAATCACTCCATTCATTATATTGACTAAAACTACCAAACAGCCAGACCACCCGGGAATAAGTGTGCCTCCAATTACCCATTTGCAACATTGTTGCAAACGGGTAATTGGCAATCTGTGTAATGTGTTCTTTGTTCTCTGGGTGGCTGCCATTCGGGAAACGAACACGGGGCGGCAGCCATCTTAAACTCCCAAACAGCGGTGTTTTGCCGTCGAGTGTCTGGAACTAAAATCGGACACTCGACTAGGCAAACACCGCTGAGACCTCCAGACTTCCAGCAATTCGTGCAGAAACTACCGAACGGCCCGCCGTTCGGTAGAAATTATCCCACGAACAAGGGGATTCATACGAATCCTCCCCAAGCTCTATAACCCAGGCAATTCGTGTGTTTTCATTCCCTTTTCTGTGACCGACTGCAGGGCCAAAATGCATGGAACTATTTTCGGATACTTTTGCCATGCAGTCGGTCAAAACTTTAACCCTCCATAATTTCCGAACCCCTGGTCCGATTTGGGTGATTTTTGGATATGTGTCTCACCCAGATCGGGGCTACCAGGGGATGTAACATTTACAGGTGTACCCCCCATATTTGGGGTACATCCAAGAATTGGGGAAAAGTGTGTACGGTATAATTGTGTTAAGTGTTAATCTAAGGGGAGGAGATGTGTGGGAGGTAACAGATATGGGATTGGCTGTTGTACTGATTATTGTAAATCCCTCCCTTGCATGGGAGAATGTATTAAAAGAAGATGGTGTGAATAAACCTACAGTTCCTGCTTAACCCTCAAAGTGAAGTGTCGTCTCATTATTGGGGGAGGATTTATTGTATGCTGTTCCAGTTTGACTGCTAGGGGTGTAAACCTATTCGCATGGTTTTTCCTATTCGGCTGTATACAACATTCATATGCTTAAAAGCACTCATATGCTTCTCCGGTTCGGTGATTGTGGTGTCTGCCAGAGTGCTTGGAGTCCTCAGGAAACGCTAGGAGCATCCTTCAACGGAGGTACCCAGTCGGGGTGCCAGGCGATCCGTTACAGTGATGAACCTGGTTAATTGTCCAGTAGAACAAAAGCAATAAGGTAAATTAGTATTAACAGTCCAGTAAGAATTAAAGCAGGGGGATATTGATGATCAGGTTTTGTTTTACTAAGCTTCTTTGAGAAGAGCAGACTGGAAACAAACAGGTTTGATGAGTAGATCAAGATGGTTCAAAGTAAATGAGATTTGAGCAGGTTTCTCTGTATGAGCCAGGAGCAGAAGACTTGTCAGGTTCAGAACGATAACTTCTGTCATTGTGAAGGCCGTTTGGTTTAGTCGGCTGTGGCCATTTATAGCAGATATAATCACTATGCTATGCGGGTGAGAGTGACTGAGGATTGTATAGTGGCTAGGGCAGCCACTAGTGGTGAGTATTGAAATAATAAAACAGAATAAAATAAAGCAATATCTTGGTTGTCAGGATAGGATGCCGACACATATAAAAACTTAATAATCTATTACAATCATTTAAAGTCGAGTTTATAATATCAAAGATATATACGCTTGCAATATCAGTAAAATAGAATAATATACCCTCTTAACCCCTTAAGGACCAAACTAATGGAATAAAAAGGAATGTGTCCTGAAGGGGTTAAACAAGTCACCCTCACAGTCTTGATCAAATGGAGCAGCGTCTGCATCCAAAATGTTCTCCTCTGTCCTTCTAATATTAATAAGAACACATATTTATACCTTAGATGATCAATTAGGTCATGTGAGGATCTACCTTAACCTGGCAAAGGTACGAGGTCACGAGCATTAAATGATATAGCCTTGACTTTGGAATTTTACATGGAAACATCTTACTCAGTCTATTGTCATGACCTAGACATCTTGTCTATGTTTGGAGTAAAACTTAAGTTTGGATATGACATGGGAAGTTCCCTGACTTGGTGTCACACTAACCTAGCATGGCGTCTTAAAGTCTAAACTAGGGATCGACCGATATTGATTTTTTTTTAGAGTTGATACCGATAATCTGTGAACATTCAGGCCGATAACGTACCAATAACAATATTATGTACATTTGCCATTTAACAAAAAAAAAATATTTCTTCCCACATCTACTGTTAACTAAACATGTTTAATATTTATTTCTTATTTGCAAATTATTTTTTTATTAAAGTAAATGCACAAAATATACATGGGATGTCCAGGGCAGCATTGCATAAAAGGAGACCCCTGTCAATAAACATCAGTTCTACTTGACTCTTCAAAACGTAGCCTCGTCTCGTTCTTGGAAGGGGATTTATTGTACTGTTACTCTGCTCCATTTTACAATGATGCCTGACTCTACCCTTGGATATCGTGGATGGGAATAAGAACTCCATTACTACACAGCAGCTTGTCAGGAAAAGGACGTCTCCAACGGCAGATACCCCCTTAGCACTTGGGTAGCCGTTACATTGGTGGCAGCGGCGGGATGGTCCTTTTCATCCACAAAGCAAGTGCTGAATGGAGTCCCAGTATGCTAGACTAGAAGAGACCCACACTGAAAGATCTGTTGGAAACCAGTGGAAGGAGTGCCAGCAACCGACCACAGAGAGAGCTGATAGCTGACCTACTGGAGCTGGACGAAATGGATAGATCCATGGAGGTCACTGACCAACCTACGCCTGTCAGCGAGGAGGATGACATTACCAGCATTGTATAGCGGAGGTTATCCATGTACCCAGCAACTTCCGTGGAACTAATTGAACGGCTGTTCCTGGAAGCGAGAGCAGAGATTCGAGACAAGAGGGGATACGAAATTGAGCTGGTAAGAGCTAAACAGCCCATTACACAGACAGTTCATACTCCCCCACCCGCTGCTACAGGAAAGAAAATACTGTTTACTGCGTTTAAAGCTTTTGTGGAAAGTGAAGATGAAATTGATGGATATTTGGCTGACTTTGAGAGGCAGTGCTCACTACACCAAGTACCACCAGAGCAATGGGTCACTATCCTGGCTGGGAAATTATCAGGAAAAGCAAATGAGGCTTTTCAGGCACTTACTGCCGAGGATATATCGCATTATCAACGGGTGAAAGACGCACTGCTCACCAGGTATGCTGTAACCCCAGAAACGTACCGCCGCCGCTTCAGGGAGTCCAAGAAGAAGGTTGTGGACTCCCACATGGAATGGGCAAACCGGATACAAGGGGTGGCATCACATTGGGTACGAGGGTGCAATGCCAACACCAGAGAGGAAGTGTTGCAGTTGTTCCTAATGGAACATTTCTTTCAAGATCTGTCCGCGGATATACAAGACTGGGTACGAGACTGCCGCCCCGCTAATTTAAACGAGGCAGCGTGGCTAGCGGATGAGTACGCAGAGACGAGAAAAGTGGCCAGGGTACTACACGACCGACACATAAGGGAGAACCACGCACCCCAACCAACACCTCACGCCCAGAGTTCCGGGCTCCAGTACCCCCAGGACCACCACGTCCCCAGTGGTCTAACAACTACCCCCGGGATTCTTCTAGGGTGACGTGCCATCGCTGCAGCAACACCGGACATATTGCTCGTTATTGCCCTTTGGGATCTGCCAATAATAATTGGAGGCGCACAGCACCCAACACAGAGGCCCCACCATCACGTCCCTCTGCTGCCCACTGCCTGGAGACCGAAGTGAGCCCTGAGGAATGTCTGGGAATCTTGTATGAGGCAGATGCGATACAAGCTGCCTCCCCAGATAACCGCCAACATTACCGCCAGTAGGTGCGTGTGAATGGACAGGTAGCACAAGGCCTAAGAGATACCGGGTGTGAAGAATCCCCCTCCATTCATTCGGTACTTTCCCTCCCTGCTACTTTATCTATGGATTTATTATTGTGACGAAGTGCCCTTCGCCACTTATGCCTGGAGAGGACTGCTTGCCCGCCTCTTGCCCTGTGACTATGGACCCTGGGAGATTTGACCTGTTTAATTCAGTATGATAGGAGTTATGTATTTTTGTATCCTTTTGTGTTTTACTGGGAACATGTGCTCAATGGAGTCTGCCTCTATCCCTGGATATAAATGGATTATGTTCCCCATTGTCTCCAGGATAGAGGGCTCTGTAAAACCAGTTTGAGCCAGATATCCATGCTGCCAGCCAGGCCCCAAAAGATACTTTACTAACTTCTGAACCCCTGGTCTGATTCATGCCATTTTTTGATATGTTGTTTCCCTGAATGGATTGATTGTGAATATATATTTTTATGTGAATGTGATGTATATTTTAGAAGTTATGAATATACTGTAAAAACTGTATTTTTCCTGCTTGTGATAATTTAATCTTCTATTGTATAAGATTATTGAATCACAGGCAGAGGGGAGGATTTTGTGTGGGCTGTAACCTCTGTTTTATTGGCTACTGTAGATAACATGTGTGTCCCTCCCCTGCTGTAGATAACATGTGTGTCCCTCCCCTTCCAGTAAAGTCTTGTTCCAGCATTAAGCCTTGGCTCATGTTTGGGGGATTGGAAAACTACACTCTGGGGATTGCTATATTCACTATACTCCCCAGGGTATATTCACTAAGCTCTGCTAAGAGCTTGTTCCTGCTCTCTGGGGAAAGAGAGGTTAACCCACTGGAAGCTGGATCCTGGCCTTGGGACCAGGGTGGGTGGAGACAGCGAGATCCCGGCGCAGATGCATCGCTGGGAGTGGGGTCTGCAGTGCTGATGGTGTCGGTTGGAGTGCTTGGAGTCCTCAGCGAGCACTAGGAGCATCGATTGGCGGAGGTACCCAGTCGGAGTGCCAGCGGTCCGTCACACCCACATAACCTGCCATTTAGACAAATGCAGTTAAAACCTATGCAATTCTCAGGACAGCCCAGTGCCATCCGCTACACTGCTCCCCCTTGCCCACAAGCCGGCATACACAGTCTGATCCAACACGGATCGGCTTGGGGATGTCCGGGGATGCTCACGGATCATTTCTCCAGGTCTGTTTGTCTTGACAACCCGTCAGCATTCCCATTCTGTTTGCCAGGGCGGTACTGAATGTTAAAGTCAAAGGGCTGCAGCGCCAAACTCCAGCGCAGCAGCCTGGCATTGTCCCCAGCCACCCGGTTTAGCCAGACCAACGGGTTGTGATTTGTGAGCAATGAAATAGGCTGTCCATACAAATACGGCTGCAATTTCTTCAGGGCCCACACCACAGCCAGGGATTCCTTTTCGATGGCGGCGTAGCTCACTTCTCTGGGTAATAGTTTCCGACTGATGTAGGCTACGGGCCCCGACTTGGCTTAATACTGCCCCCAATCCAAACATAGAAGCGTCTGTGTGAACAAGAAAACGTTTAGTTGAATCGGGAGGTGCCAAGACAGGGGCATTAACAAGTGCATCTTACAACAGTTGGAATGCCTTCTCACACTCCGGGGTCCAGGTTACTTGGCGGGGTAAGTTGTTACGGGTAAGGTCAGTAAGGGGTTTGGCCAGGGCACTATAGTTGGGGACAAACTTGCGGTAGTATCCAGCGGCCCCTAGAAAAGCAAGGACCTGGGTTTTTGTCCTGGGCGTGGGCCATTGGGATACTGCCTCTACCTTAGCGGGTTCAGGTTTCTGCTTCCCACACCCTACTCTGAGTCCGAGGTACTGTACCTCTGCCATACCTATACTGCATTTAGCCGGCTTCAGGGTTAATCCGGCTTCTCGGATCCTATCTAACACCGCCCCTATGTGGGCCAAATGTTCCTCCCAAGTGTTGCTAAAGATAGCTATGTCGTCTAAATAAGCACAAGTGTAATCCTGAAAACCATCCAGGAGTCGGTCTACCATCTTCTGGAAGGTAGCGGGTGCATAACCTTAAATTGGTATAAACCGAATGGGGTGACAAAAGCGGATTTAGGAATGGCCTCGGGCGCCAGGGGAATCTGCCAATACCCCTTACATAGATCAATGGTTGTGAGGTAGTGACCTCTGGCCATCCGGTCCAGTAATTCCTCTATCCGGGGCATCGGGTATGCATCGGATACCGTCTTTTCGTTTAACCTCCTGTAGTCCACGCAGAAGCGAGTTGTGCCATCTCGCTTGGGTACGAGGACTACAGGGGAGGCCCAGGGGCTGACGGTTCAATCACCCCTAGGTGGAGCATCTCCTTAATCTCCTTGCGCATGTTTTCCTTCACCGCTTCAGGGATGAGATAAGGGGTTTGGCACATGGGAAGCTGTCCTGGGGTCTCTACCCTGTGAGTGGCCAAAGGGGTGTACCCAGGTATATTGGAGAATGCGGAGCTTCTTTAACTATTATCTACTTGATGAACCTTTTGAGGCGAAACGCGTCTAGATATTATTTTAATTACTTTATAATAAAGAATTTAATTTGGCATAGAACACTTTATTGCCATTTCTCTTTATATTCTTTTTATATTTTCTAATTATATTTTTATTTTTATCTGTGCACCTGATCTACACCTATAAGGAACCCAAAGAATCCATAGGTGGGGATTATACCACCCAGGCGTTTACACCGAGCAGTATAGGCCTGCTCTATAGAATGTAAGTAATCTACTTTACATCCTTTCGCTTAACTGTATACAGAGAGCACTATATTTTTATTCTCTCATTTTGGGTTGAACAATCTTTACTCGAACACTGAATTTGGGCCAGAAACTCTCCAATCAAACACTACTTTACATATCCTTGAGTGGGGATTGTTCCACTTCACGCGCTTAATATCAGAGCTAGGATCTAGCTCTGAAGAGTGTGAGTACGGCTAATTTTACTACTTTAGAATTTTATTCTCGCTGATATACTGTACCACTGGAGTTCCTGTTTCTGTTTCCCTTTCATATATTTTTCACTGGATTCGAGTATACCATTGTGAAGATTCCACTCCATTTGACGTCTCAGGATTTCCTGTTTCCTCAAAAGAACTCACCATTACGGACTCTTGATAAGTGTTTTTGGACTATTGTTTATTACTATTTTATATTTATCATTACCATCTTACTTTTATTATTTTATTTTATACTGTGTCTATGTTTTATTATACATTTTAGGCGCACTTTTATCCTTTTTTATCTGTTCTTACCTTTATATTTAGGGGATTATAGAGGACTCCCCTCTGAGAGGTGCTGCCTTCTTTATTTATTTGTGGCAGTAGTGCGCCGATTTTTTTCTCTTTTCATATTGGAGAATGTGTCCTGTTTCTCCCTTAATAACGGTTGTACCTCGGTACGCTCCTGTGGTCTCAGCCGATCCCCCAGAGTAACTTCCCCCAAATTCCCGGACAGTCTGCCGTCCCCCAGTAGATCTGGGAGAGGCAGGCTGTCGAACTCTTCATTGGAGGGGGTGCAAATTGCAGTTACTTCCTCTGAACGTTCCCGGTAGGGCTTCAGCATGTTCACGTGGATCATGCGTAGCCCCCAGTCCCTGTGCAGGCGCCAATTATATACGTGGTGTCGCATCTCTGCTCCATCACTTTATATGGGCCCTGCCAGGAGGCCTGCAGCTTGTCATGTCGGACCGGTTTCAAAATTAGAACCTTCTGCCCAACCTGGAAGCTGCGGTGCCTGGCACCCTTATCATCTCTGCGCTGGTGCGTTTGAGCCGCCTGGAGGTTCTCTCGGACTGACTTGGTCAACGCTTCCAAACGCTCTCGAAACGCCAGGACATATGGTATGACAGGGGTACCGTCTGTACTCCGGTCTCCCTCCCAGTGTTCCCTGATCAGATCAAGGGGTCCCCTTACTCTCCGCCCAAACAGTAACTCAAATGGGGAGAATCCTGTCGATTCCTGCGGCACCTCCCTGTAGGCAAACAGGAGATGGGGCAAAAACCGTTCCCAGTCCCTATGGGTGTCTGCAAAAGTGCGAAGCATTTGCTTCAAGGTCCCGTTGAACCTTTTGCATAGCCCATTGGTCTGGGGGTGATAGGGGGCGCTAACGATCGATTTGATGTCAGAAAATTTCCAGAGGCTTTGGGTGACTTCTGCAGTGAACTGGGTACCCTGATGCGAGATGATCTCTCTGGGTAACCCCATCCGAGTGAAAATCTGCATCAGGGCCTCAGCCACAGTTTCTGCGTGTATGTTAGTCAGGCCAATCACCTCTGGATATCGGGTGGCATAATCCACTACAGTTAAAATATACCGTTTACCAGAGGGGCTGGGTCGTTGCAGGGGTCCTATTATATCTACTGCTACTCTGTTGAACGGTTCCTCGATTATGGGTAGCGGGTGCAATTTTGCCTTCCGCCGGTCCCCTCTCTTTCCTACTCTTTGGCACGTGTCACACGTGTTGCAGTACCTGCGGACTTCCATATTGCATACCGGGCCAGGATCACCTCTTTTACCCTGTGGTAATCCCGAATTTCCTCATCTGGTACAGTTCTATACACCTCAGCAGCCTTTCCAGTGAGCTTCCCTGCCAAAATAGGTACCCACTCCTCTGGACTAATATTAGGCAGTGCACACAGTCTCTCAAAATCTTGGAGAAAAGCATCTATGTCCTCCTCTGCCTCTACATATGTTTTAAATGCTTGGTAAGGTATTTTTGCCTTACCCTGTGTGATGGTAGCGGTGGTAGCATTCCTCTCCAGATTTTGTAGTGGTCTTTGGCGTAGTATAAATTCCTGCACCTCTGTCATTGTCCTGGATATAATATCCGCCGTTGGATTCTCTCCAAACAGCCTAAACTGCAGCTGTCTTTGGAATTCTTCTTGTTCAGATCCATCTGCTGAACTCCGCTGCTCAGGGATCGCCCTGTCCTCATTTTGGTATTCTGCCATCACCTCTGCAATGAGGGTTGCTTTCCTTTTGTTGCTTGCTGCAATACCTTTTGCTTCTAGGAGATCTTTTAGCGTGGAGCTTTTAAGCTTCGCATAATCACTCTCCAATCCGTATTCCATTAGTCCTTGTTCCCTTGTGAGTCTGGATCCCAGCGCTGCCAACCAATGTAGCGGAGAGCTAATATTTCCTAGCCTATCTCCACTTTAGATCCCAGTGAGGCTCAGGAACAAGCAATTATAAATCCATAGGGCAAAGTATCCAGCAGGCAAAATAATACAGCAATATCCCAACAGCACTCCCAATAACTGGACGACACACAGTATCAGGAGCAGAACTAAAGATTTATTCACACAGTGGCCTTATAAAGCATGCTCCCATGCAAGGGAGGGATTTCCATTCATTAGTACAGTAGCCAATCCTGTTCCGGTAACCTCCCACACATCTCCTCCCCTCAGCCTGCATCATAATCCAGGACACCAATTCCCCCTATTTCTGGATGTACCCCCAAACCGCTTTAAATGATACATCCCCTGGTAGCCCTGATCTGGGTGAACAACATATCCAAAAATCACCCAGATCAGACCAGGGGTTCTGGAAATTTATGGAGGGATTAAAATGACCGACCGCACTGGAAAGAATAGCCGAATTGGGTTCCATGCGATGGGGCCCTGCGGTCGGTCCTGGAACAAGGGAACAAATTGCACGAAAGCCTCCAGTTACAGAGACTAGGGAGGGTTCGCCTGAACCCTCGTTCGGTTGTTTGGAACCGAACGAACCGGGCTTGTGGAGGTCTCAGCGGTGTTCGCCTAGTCCGATTTGAGTTCCAGACACTCGACGACAAAACACCGCTGTTCGGGAGTTTTAAAATGGCCGCCGCCACGTGTTCGGCCACCCCCGAGAACAAAGGACTACTGCCCAGCTTGTCAATTACCCGTTCGCAACAATGTTGCAATGGGTAATTGAAGGCACACTTCACACCGGGGAGGTCTGACTGTTCGGTAGTTTCATTCCCGAACAATCAGACGAATACAATACATTTATACACACACATAACCTGCCATTTAGACAAATGCAGTTAAAACCTATGCAATTCTCAGGACAGCCCAGTGCCATCCGCTACAGTCACCGCTTCTTCAATCCTCCTATGGTCCTGGATTTCTGCTTCAGTATACAGTGATTATAGCTACAGGAATTGGGATTATAGCCCTCTGGAACATTGTGAAATTCCCCAAAATAGACCAGTCGTATTGGGTAAAACACATATTTATACCCCTACATACATCAGGGGGCCTTTAGCAAAACAATGCAAAGGCGATAGCAATAGCAATGTGAGACTCTTTTGCAGCGTGGTCAGTCTGGAAATTGCCAACTTCAACCACCATAGATCCCTGAAGAAGTTCCCTATCTGGATGAAACGCGTTGGATCATCATTTATGTGGACTTTTTGTTTTAAATGTACTTTGTTTTATTCTTTGAGGCTGAAGTTGGCAATTTCCAGACTGACCACGCTGCAATAAAGTTCCACTGTGTGTGGAGATATGCCCATACCTTCTACTTGTTTGTAAGTGCAATCAAATAAATTGTATTCTGGTTTTAATCATACTTCACTATGTATGGCCTTTATGCAGGTATGTCACTGAAGGGGTTTTAACCCCTTCAGCAACCTGGGATGTTTTCCTGGGACTGGAGTGTCCCTTTAAAAACAGATTGTATTTCTGTTATTTGATATATTACCTTGATTACAGCTTTCCAGAATTTATTTATGGGTATGCACTGCCACCAACTGTGGAGTAAATTGCCTTCATTCATATTACATTTCCAACATCTGCCTGATGACTCTTGGAAAATTTTCTTTAAACGTTTCGGTGTTAGGTACCATCTGTTTGAGAGTTTAAATTAAGTTTCCATAACATTTAAGCATTGTACATATGTATTTAGTTTATTTAGACAGCTTATCCACTTTTCCTCTTCTATATGTACTTGTAGTTCTTTTCCCCATTTATTAATAAGTTCCATCGGTTTATTGTGTCTCCATCCATATACAACTTTAGCACATTTTTCCATTAGGTTTTTATAGTTCTATAATTCGAGTAGACGTTTGAGGATTGTAATTTTCTCCCCCTCATTTTGAAGGAGATAGTCTGCTAAAAATCCCTTAATTCACAGAAAGGCAAAAGTGTCTTTGGGGGAATGTTGAATTCCTCCATAATTTGATTGAAGGTTTTCATTTTATGTTCCACCAGTATATTTTTACTTTTCCTTATCCCTCTAGTCTTCCAAGTGTCTATTTTTATGTTGTCTAGCAATTCATAAATACTAGAAAAAGGGAGCACATCTATTCTATTTCTGAGACATATGTTGTTTGAGAATTTGTCCCACCAACTCGTTTACTCTGAGTATCTGAGATCCAATTCGTGCCTCTTTGATTGATTTTTTTGGTTCACGTCTAGGACCCAAAACAGTGACGTTAAATTTCCTACCCTGGTTTTAGCTTTTTCCATTTTATATCACGTTTCTTGGATTGTAGCAATATTTTGTGAAAGCATTATGTGGAAAAGTCTACTAGCTTGATAGCATTATAAAATTTCCAGGCACCCCAAACCTCCATCCTACCTTGATCTAGCCAAAACTTTCATTTTAACTCTTGCTTTCTTGCTGCCCCATACAAATTTAAAAAAGGATAAGTGTAGTAAAGATAGCCAGTTTTCTGGGAAATTAAGCGGGATCATTCTCCACAGGTACAGCCATTTTGGTAAAAGGTAAAAAGTTGGCTTCTACTAGGTCTTTTAAATCCGAGGTAATGTTATACCTAAATATTTTAGTCTGTCCTTGTTTTCTGAGAGCCCAAGATTTTGTACAAGAAATTAACCTTTTGTTCAATTTTTTAGCTATAAATATTGATTTCTCTATATTCATTTTATATCCTGACACATTGGAATAATTATTTATCTCATTCAGAAGTGCTCATACTGAGGTTTTTGGTTCTTCTAAAGTTAGTAAGATGTCATCTGTGTAAATATTTAATTTACTTTGTCCTAAGGAGTTCGTAAATCCTTTTGTGATGAAGTGCCCTTCACCACTTGTGCTTGGAGAGGCCTGCTTGCCAGCCTCTTGAATTGTGACTATGGCCCCTGGGAGATATTGCCAGTTAAAAACGTTATTTGGGCATATTGGATTTTAAAACTCATTTTCTGCCCCTTTAATCGATGGGAAAATGTGCTCTTCCCCTCCCCCTTTTTCCAGTCCTATTGTTCTCCAGCAGGGTGTTGTCCTACGGCACTGCCAGAGCAGTTGAAACTGGCTGCTTTGTTCCTCCTCAATCTCTCATCAGCCCTTGCTATTGTTTAACCATGTAGCGGAGAGCTGATCTCCCACAGCCTATTTCCGCTGGTAATCCTAGAATGGCTCAGGAACAAGTAGTAAATCCAATAGAGTAGCAAGCACAATCAGTAAGAGAATACAATTATATCCCATCACTTTTCCCAATAACTGGACGACACACAGTATCAGGAGCAGAACTGATGTTTTATTCCACAAACCCTGCTTTTATGCGGTTCTCCCATGCAAGGGAGACACCCACAATAATTAATACTGTAGCCAATCAAATAGACGTTACCTCCCACACATCTCCTTCCCTCAGCTTAACTTATATTGTACCAAGTTTCTGGATGTACCCCAAATATACCAGGTACCCCTAAATGTGGCATCCCCTGATAGCCCTGATCTGGGTGAGCAACATATTCAAAAATCACCCAGATCGGACCAGGGGTTCGGGAGTTAGATGGAAGTGTAAATTTGGTAGGTCTCCGTTCGTGAGTAAAAAGTCCCGAAAGTCCTTGCCATCCATAGCTGAGCTGGGGTTCACATGCATCCCCTCGTTCGGTAGATTGAATTAGCCAAACGGCGGGCTTTTAGGATGTTCCGTTTGTGAGTTATGGAGCCCTGGAGGTCTTAGCGGTGTTCGCGTAGTCGAGTGTCCGATTTGAGTTCCAGACACTCAACGAACAAACAACGGCTAGTGTTCGTGCGTTAAGATAGCTGCCGCCACGTGTTCGCATGCCGAAATGGTGGCCACCCATGGATACAGTAATGCGTTCGTGCTTTTTACACTTACGAGGTAATAAAACTAATTGGGAGGTTGATTGTGTAACAGATCACCTGGCACCCCGACTGGGTACCTCCGTTGAAGGATGCTCCTAGCGCTTCCTGGGGGCTCCAAACACTCCAGCCGACACCAAAACCACCATAGACTCCTTCAGAGAGCAAGACAGGAACAGGCTCTTAAAAGAGCTTAGAAGTGATTATCCAAAGGAGCATGCAGAGCAATCCCTTGTGGTGATATAGCAATTCCCCCAATAAGAGACAGGACTCTAGATTGAGGGTGAAGAAGAACTCTGGTTTCATGCAATTCTCCCATGCAAGGGAGACGCCCACAGACAATTATACATTAGCCAATCAAATAATGGTTACAACCAACACATCTCCTCCCCTTAGCCTGAGAGGTAACACAATTAGCCGTACAGTTTAAAACACACTTTTTACCCAACTTTCATAACTCTAAAACTATACATCCAATATTAATAAAAGTCACATATTATTAATCAGCACATTTAAAATACAAACATACCCAAAAATCATTCGAATTCGTTCAGCCGTTCGGGAGACACATATAAGACACTTTTGACCGACTGCAAGCACATTTTCATGCCCAAAACAGTTCCATGGATTTGGGCTGTGCGGTCATTCTATTTTACACTGAGAAAATTACTAAGTCCCATTCGAACGAGCGTTCGAATCTTCGAACAGGTCTCCAGCCGCAGTGTCGAAGTGGAGTAGAAGGTACGGGTCAGCGGTGTTCTGCAATTAGGTAGCCGAAAACAGTTCCATAGATTTGGCTGCACACACCGCTGACCGCGTTCGAATGAGTTAAAATGGCCGCCGCCACGTATTCAGTTTTCGAATGGCGGCCACTTCGACTGCATCCGAAGTGCAAGTTTATAAGTACAAACCCTTTCTCTGGGAATTAAATTGAGGATACTGCAAAGAGTGTTAAAATGCCTATAAAGGATTTTTTTTTAACTGTAAAACCACAGGGGTGGTGTACCTTCTTACCTGCTCGTGTGGCAAGAAATACGTGGGTAAAACCTTTAGACAAAACTACATATTCTTGAACACATTCGTGCAGTGAGATATAGAAGTGATACACCAATCTCAAGACATCTTTGGGAACACCATGCAGGTCGCTCACATGATCTATGTTTTTCAGGGATTGAACACGTAAAACTGGACCAAAGAAGGGGCAATCTGGAATGAGTCCTTAAACAAAGAGAGTCCTTTTGGATCTACAAACTCAAGACATTGGCATCGTTGGGCCTTAATGAGAGGTTCACATATACCCCATTTTTATAGTAATCACTACCGATAACTTGTTAATTTTCTAGCATAACAGGAATATAATTCCTATCCAATTAGTCTATTATACCATCATTTAAACTATCATATGCATAGAGCAATGATTCTACACTTTAGTGAAGTTCCACTTTTTTTTCTCCTATTCTTATTAATGAAGTCATCCTCCCTTTAACCCCTCCTTGGGAGAGGTCCTCTAAGTTTCAGATTTAGATTCACATTAGCAGCGCTGTTCAAAATTAAGTAACCTATTAACTTTATAATAGATTAATAAACATTCTCTAGTACAAGATATTCATGAGGGTATATTGTATCATGCTATTGTGATATTGGCAATAATGGTTTGTCCTGGCAATAATGTTTTATGCTGGGTCTAAGGCTTTATAGTAACACACTGCATAACCTATATCCTCATTTACCTATGTTATAGGAATTCTAGTGTGCAAGACCCTTTAGGACGTTTTTATTGCTATTTTTGTTATTATTTTTATTTCCAGCATTACAATGATTAAAGGACCACTCTAGGCACCCAGACCACTTCAGCTTAATGAAGTGGTCTGGGTGCCAGGTCCCTCTAGGATGTCCTATGAGACAGGATGAATGCGCGCGCAGCTCTTGACGCGCATGCGCATTCAGCCGAAGAGGAGGATTGGAGGCGGAGAGGAGCTCCCCGCCCGGCGCTGGAATAAATGTAAGTTTAACCCCTTTCCTCGCCATCCAGCCCGGCGGGAGGGGGACCCTGAGTATGTTTTCCTGGCACTATAGTGGTCCTTTAAATCTCATCCTGAAATGCATAATAGAACAGCAAAATGTGGTCGAATGAGTTAATCGCCTTAAACACCCCCGCTTGCGGTGATTGGACAATTCCCATAAGGGGGCGTGCCTAAAGTTCCAGCGGGAACCTCAAAAATTGAAACGAGGGACATGACTGTTACTTGGGATCAATAAGACGGGTTGATCCAAAGCAATGGTGCCAACCTAAGACAAACGTGATGTATGACAAAAAGCCCTCGCCATACATTATCTCGAGTAATACAAAACATCACTGAGATATAGGTCCCACATGTCCTGTGGGAAAAGTGTACTGAGGGTAGATGATCTAGGGGGAGCCAACCTAAAGGTGCTACTAGTATAGGAAAAAATATATATAAATAAAATAAAAATAATAATAATAATAATAATAATAATAATAATAATAATAATAATAATAATAATATGAAAGAAGAAAACCACCCACGTACACATTAATGTTCCTAATTTGTGTAGAAATAGGGATAGGGGGGACCTTGTAAATCTACACCCCACAGACTTTCAGCTTATTGTTGAGTCTATTTTTCTAAAGTGTTTTAACTGATTACTATTTTACATTTTAATTTTACAAAACTTGTGTTATTCTTAAATCACTCTTTCCCATTTCTTTCTTTTCTTCCTTGTGTAGATGTGTGCCCTTCTGTGTATTTTTAAGTTCCTTTTGTGTAATATAATTTTTTAGTGTACATTAAATCGTTTCATTCTAATTAGTGTAAACTTAAAAGGAAGATAATTTTCTTCATTTTGTGCATTACTTTTCTTGTTAAGTGCCTGTTTAATCAATTTTCTAAAATATTCTAAATTTCTCGATTTTCATTTCTTTTTTCTAGGTTGGTTATACTTTTTATATCTCCCTAATATCCCCCTTATCCCCTTGTGCTATTAACTGCAAGAAAGCGAAAAGAGAAAAAAAAAAAAGTCTGTAATTTCTCGTTTCTTATAAATTATTTTTTGTCTTCCCTTGTTAGAAGGTTGAGTGCCACTAGTGCCATTTTTCTCCTTTCTTTTTTCCTTTCTCTCCACTCTAATATTTGGGGCCTCCCCATTTGTTGACTAGTGGTTGGAGCGGTTTCTGATTTTATTTTTGCTTAACCAACTTTTTAGGTCTTTTGCATAATTAATGGTGGTGGTCTTCCCTTCGTGAGCTATGATAATTCTCGTTGGGAATCCCCACGAATAATTAATATTGTTCTGTTTTAGAATTAGTGTGCCGTCAGAGAAGGTCTTCCTTTTTTGTCTGGTTGGCCATGACAGGTCCTGGAATATTTTCAATGTTTCGTATTCGTCTGCGCATTTATTGCTTCTTATAGCTCTGAGAATTTGCAACTTAATTTTGGAGGAGGCGCAGCATATGAATTAATCTCTTGGCAGATGTTCTGGGATGCCCTTAAGTTTGTTCACTCTGTGACATCTTTCCCTTACGGGAATTCTGGGGTCCCATTCCACCTTCAGTTGCTTAAAGAATTCCTCTATATAGGGTTCCAGATTTTTTAGATTTATTTGTTCTGATACTCCTCTAATTCTTAAGTTGTTCCGTCTTGGCCGGTCCTCTAGGTCTATCAATTTTTTTCTCTATGTTAGCCATCTTTTTTTCCCAGTGCTAGATGTTCTTCTATGTGGACCTTTTCCTTTTGTTCCCACCTGTTTAGTGTTTCTTCTATTCCTTGAAATCGTTGGTTGAGAGTCAACAGATCTTTATTTATGTCTAGAGTATTAGCTTGGATTTCTTCTCAAATTTACAAATTGTGTATCTAGGTGTCTGAGTAAGTTGTCATATTCATTTCTTCCTTCTCTTGACTCTTGAGTTTCTTCCGCCTTTTCCTTCATTGATGCCTTTCTATGATGGGGTATTAGAGAGAAGAGATTCTTCCATGTTTGTTTTATTAGTTGATAGGTTTGGTGAAAAGAAGGAAAGGCGTTTTTTCTGTTTTATTTTCAGACTTTTTTTAGGTGCTTGCCATTTTGCGTCTTTTTTGTAGCCATTTTAATTTTAATTTGTATTTTAGTTTTACTCTTTTTTTCCTGGAGGTTATATGCTCTTTAGGTTAGAACTATCTTTGCTTTTAAAATAGTATCCTTTTTGTCTTTTTGCGTTTCTTGCTCCCCAACTTCTTCTCCTCCTCACCTTCACCATTCTATCCTGGTAAACAATTATATTTTATTATTTTTATTTTATTACTTCCTCCCTTTCCTCCCTATTCTGGTTCCTATTCTGTTGCGTAGAAAATTGAGCTAAGTAACAGGAGTAGGGGAGAAGCGCAAGTCGTGTGACAGCAAAGAAAAAAAATCCAGACCATAACTAAAAGAATATATGGGGATGCTGCCCGGGGGCTAGCTCGCTCCATCTCCTGAGTTCCTCCGCAACCAGTGGTGCTGTACGAATGCTAACGTTGCCCTCAATTGTAAATCCAACGATACCGGTGTCTCCAATATGCTTCTATATTCACTAGGAAGCCATCCCACCGCTGGCACCAAATGTGACGGACCGCCTAGCACCCGAACCCGGTACCTCTGTCAATCGCTAGTAATCCTAGTACTTGTGAGCACCATAAGCACTGTTGTGGTACACCATAACCATCTTAGATCCCTGTTACGGCTCCCCCGGTAGGAGGGTTTACTGCCGTAGGAGACGTTCCCTTCCCGAATGCAGAGGTAGCCACTGAGCGCTCCAAACTGCCGAACAGCAATCATACGGATCAAGTATTTTCCTAAACAGCCGAACAAGTGTACTCCATACGAATAATCCCCCCAATGACGAGACAAAGCTCCGTATTGAGGGTCAGCAGGAATCAGGTTTAATGAGTGCTACCTGCCCGGCTTTTATGCAGGTCTCCCATCTGATGGACACTCCTTTAGGGGACCAAATGGGAGACTGTGACAAGGACATTGTAGCAGCCAATCACAGGGTACACACTTAGCCATTCCCCTTTCATTACCCAGAACCCTCTGCTCTGCCCGGGGAGATAATTGTGAAGTAATTCAATTATCTCCCAGGACAGAGCCTAAACGCCATTTTAGGTGACAATAACAAAAAAACATAAAAGTACACAAGTGTTACATATTACAACATATTACAGGCATTCAACAGGTCCCCAGATAGCTAGGATCTGAGCGCACCAAAGTACCAAATAATGCTCAGATCCTATGCACACAGTCCAATCGCCGTGGAACCAAAGTGTTCACAAAGTCAGTTCTCATACGAATGGGCTCCACGGGATGCCTATCTGGGGTATGGTGTATTCGTGTACAAACTACCGAATATAGGGCCGTTCGTGAACTTTCTACCGAAGAAGGGAGGTCGGCGGCTTCAGCTGTGTTCGTGCCAAAATGTATCCAATTTGAGTTCCATGAGTTGGGCGTCGAACACCGCTGTGCGTTCACGTGTTTAAAATGGCCGCGACCTTGTGTTCGGTATACGAATGGCAACCACCCAACTACCGTATCAATTAAGAGGTGTCTGCGGTTAACCTCAACGTTCTGATGGGGCAAGGAGGTTAACCACCAGCACACTTCTCTACTAGGTGGCCGGCCGTTCGGTAGTTTTATTCGGTATATAGAAAGGGAATGGCATAGAGTCCACAGGAACGGGGAAACACGAATCAAGCAAACGAATGAAGAATACGGTTATTTAAGTTCAGGACAGAGGGATCTGTCACAACCCCACGAACCGCCAAAGCTTGGTTGGGGTCTCGCTGCCCTCCACCCACCCTTGACACAAGACCAGGACCCAGCTTCCAGTAGGTAGACCTCTTCTAGTCCAGAGAGCGTAGCAGGAATAGCTCTTATAAGAGCTAGTGATTATACTCAGGAGAGTATTGTGATATAGCAATCCCCAGAGTGAATGTAGTTCTCCAATCCCCCAAACATGAGCCAAGACTTCATGAAGGAGTAAACGAATCTCTCTTTAATGGGAGCCACACTTGGCCTTATATGACAATCCCCATGCAAGGGGTAAGCCCACAGGGACCTTGTGGGGGACTGATTTCCAACTTCACAGACCAATAACAATAAGGTTACAAGGCACGACACTCCCACACACAGCACACAATCCCTCCCCTCTGCTTGGGAGATAATTGAATCAGTAACTGTACTAATTCTAATCCAATTATCTCAAGGCACAGACAAAACATACTTTTTAATAACACCCCAAAAGTTAAAATACATAAAAACCCCACACGTTACATCCCCTGATAGCCCTGATCTGGGTGACCAACATATCCAAAAATCACCTGGGTCAGTTCAGGGATTCAGGAATTTCCTGGAAGTCATTTATTTGACCGACCGCAGCCATGGTCCCATAGCCGAAAATAGTTCCATAGAATTGCGGCTAAGTGCCGCTGTAGGGCCGACCGGGAACCGCAAAGTTTTCATGCCGAAAAAAGTTCCAGGGCATTCGAGGCTAAATCCCCCTGAAGTCTATTCGCAGTTTTGGTCCATGCGAACAAGATGGCCACCACCTCGTGGTCGTCCATAGGAATTGCGGCCACCTAGACGAACATGTAGACCACTGTGGTGGAAATTGCAACAATGCATCAATTAAGCTTAACAAGCTCTAGGATGGTCTCCAGGTCATGCGGCTGTCCGGCAAACGAACCATATAGTCCCAATTGCATGGGCCATAGTCACAGATTAGGAGGCAGGCAAACAGGCCCCTCCAAAAACCAGTGGCAAAGTTACTTTCGTCACAACTAATTTTAAGGAGACCTAATGTTTATGCAAACCCCTCCATAGTAAACATATAGTGTAAATAAACAGACAGTTTAGTAGCAACTGGCACTTAACTTGTGTTTTCTGTTGCTGTTTTCTCGTCCCCTGTGTTTATCCGTTGGGGTATCTGGCTGGCTGTAGATATATCCGTCGAAAAGGCAGTTCCCTACATCTCCCCACTTCTTTGTTTTTGTGTGGCACCTCGAGTGACACTCCAGGTAAGTCGAGTCCCTCCTCAGCTTTAGTCGGCTCCCTGGATCGCTCCCTCAGACGCGATCCATGAGGACGCAGCAACGCACGCTACGTCATCTCGCTCCGCCCCCCCAAAAAGTAATAATTAACACAATGTCTTTCATCCATGTTAACATTTTACAGAATAACTTGACAATAGCGCAATGTACCCCCACATTCAATACTTCATTTTAAAGCTGGTGAAGGTGCCCATAGTCTATCGGCAGGAGACTTGCCTTCAAGCCTCTCCAGGAGGCTATGGCACATATGCTTCCGTGACAAACAGTTTCTTCCTTTTACCTAAAGTACAACAAAGTACTGTCTAAGGCATAATGAGTAACTAAACACTGCAAACTCTCACCACACTGAGCTGTATGGAGAGCTTCACAATAATTCAGCTCCCCTGCAGAGATCAGGAAGGTAGAGAAGCCTGGAAAAAAGAAACGCCAAGATCTCTGACCCATAAAGGAGCCTAATACCATCTACATGTTTATTACTAACCTGGGCCAGTATTCAAAAGACTATCCTGCAGGTGGCTCCTGACATACGGCTCTTCCCCTCGCTCAATCGCTGATATAATCAAAGGCGTCATGTGAATCCTTCCTGTATTTAATGGGACACATTATTAAGATCTTTCAAACTTTACACATTTTGTTATTATGAATTCTATGACTTTAGGAATACATGTGAAATTATGAATGTGTTCTTATGAGAAAGATTTCCTCTAAATAGGGTGAAGTTTTCTTACCCAGAGAGCTGAGGGTCTGGTAATTCTCCATGATCACATCCTGGTAAAGCTCCTTCTCATCTTCATTTAAATAGTCCCACTCCTCCTCGGAGAAGTAAACGGCCACTTCCTCAAACTCACACGGATCCTAAATGAGAAATGTCATTGTTACAGATCATCAATCTACAACAGGATTAATTGGCCAGACATTAACTATAACTACTACAAATTATAGCCTTTAATTGTTTCAGTAATCTTTTGAAAGGAAAATTACGATAGACTTCAATGGTGGATTCTGTAGATAAATAATCAGAAAAGATTTTCTAACAGATTGAGATCATTTGAAATGTTTATCCCAAAAAACTAAATTGTGCCCCATCGTATAAAGATATTAATTTTCTTTCTCTCCCTCTACCATATCCTCGAGTTATACTTCCCCATCACAAAGACAGGAAGATAGGATAAAACAATAGAAGTGTATTTTGTGAATGTAACTCTTACCGGTCTGTTCAGCTGGTAGTCCATCTCTGGGACTTGATACAGATCTCTCAATCCCTTCCACCTTCTTCTAGGGTTTTTTTTTCCAGGAGTCACTGGATGACTTGCCATCTCCAAACAATTGGCTCCAATGCCAGCAGAGATTGGTGACCTTGTTGGGTACCAGTGTGAGGGATGTAAATCAAAGGAATTAACCTACTGGATATAAACATAGCGGTCAAGCATTTTTCATCATGAAATTAGTGTAAATGTTAGATTTTTGTGTCTTTTTATCATTTTAAAAGTTTTTTTGTCTAATTTGCAGAGGTCCCCAATAGTGGCATTGCCGCTGGGTAGTTCTGTAACCATTGGGGGCAGGTAGGTTTTTACTTACCTGAACCTGTCTCTCGCAGACACCTCAATCTTGTTCCATCCAGCCATCTTCACTCCTGGTATTTCAACCTCAAGGAGTCAACATCACCACTGTAATGTTGCGCATTCATGAGAGTACAGCATTGAGGTCTATGGCGGATACTGTAAGTCAACAGGATCCTCCATATTAAGGAATTGTTTGCCTCTACAGCCATCATTGGAGATGACTGGGTGAAATTACAAGCTTGACAATTGACTCCAATACCAAAGCAGTCTCTACTTTGACTCAGTATTAGTTGTTGGGGGGTCAACTTGTCATACTGTAACAAAAGCTACAATTCTAAGCCCATTGATTCGTGCACCCCAGCTTTCGATTAAATGTTCCGGTAGCAGCCTTTCAGGTATACGAAAATACAGTGTTATAAATCGGACTACTACAGTTTATTCAAAGTCAGGCAAAGATATAGCAACGTGACAAGTAGTACGTGACAAGATTACATCAGAACGAAGAACAGCTGCATAGGATACATGCATATCTCAGCAAGCATGGTCATTAAGCCCTTAAGGACGGAGGCAATTGTACACGTTCTGATCAAAACAAACCCTAGAATTCAACGATATGTCTATTCAACCATGTGATGGTAGTGTATCACTGAGGGTTGAAGTTGGACACTTTATGCAGGCTCCCAGATAACTCCTATTATAGATACAGGTTGTGTAATCTATTTGTTATTGTCCCCCCTCCTCCCTTTGTTCCAGAGACCCCTTTCGTCTGCTGTATAGTATTACATGCGTTTTAGGAGTTTTTTTGTACTATGGGAGTTAATAGTGTTAGTGTTTGTGTGCACAAAAGGTAAAACAGAATGGAAGATAGTTTTTTATAGCTATTCTGCAATGGATCTTGGGTTCAGGCAGGTAATTCATTATAGACTCTAGACCTAATTCTGTCCTAGACACCAAGACTACAATGATTGACTACTCCTATATAAACCTGTGTTGTGTTCAATAAAACCAGTTCTACTTCACCCTTCGCTAAATCTTGGCTAGTGTTTGTGTGAGACAGCTATACTCTCTGCAAGTGAGCTTAATCACTTTGAGCTGTAGCACAGGACCGTTTCAGGATGGAAAACTCTTGATAGACCACAGTCAAGAATCAGTGACTGTGGGTTGAAGCGCTACGGGTGTCCAGGTTAAAGCTAGGAACGTGCTTGGCGTAGGAACCCAGCTGGGATGACAGGCGATCTGCCACAAACCGTAATTCACGTCTTTCATATTATTAAGTGCACCCACACTTAATATATAATATTTTGTTGAGGAGAAAGAGCAATAATTTCACGTTAAATATTTAGATATGAAATATAATTTTATAGACAAAACATAAAAAAAATAAAAAAATGTGTGAGAAATTAAGGAATGTTATTTTCTTAGTTAACTGGGAATGTCGTAAAACTGTTAGCTTGTGTTGTGTCATGAGTAAAACAGTAACCCTCATGTACAGCTATTATGGAGTTTTGGAAAGTTACAGGGTCAAATAAACTGCCCTTTCACCGATGATATCAATAGCATTCTATATTTTACTGCTCTAAAACAACTCAGTAAAGGCTCACAAGAACAATAGTAGCCCCTCGTTTCCCCCCTCTCCCCAGTGGCAGCATAGCCCACCAAGGGGAGACACTAAGCCCCCCACCAGCGCAGATGGGACCGTGGTCTCTGCGCCTAAGCTACAGGGAGTACGGACAGTCGGTCCTGCTCCCCAGCGGCAGAGTATTCTAAAGGGAGGGGAGGGCCTCGTTCCCCCTCCCCAGCGGCAGCCTAGCCCACCAAGGGGAGATGATAAGCCCCACACCGGTGCAGATGGGACCGTGGTCTCTGTGCCCAAACCACAGGGAGTAGGGACGGTCGGTCCTGTTCCCCAGCAGCAGGGCTGTATATCTAAAGGGGAGACAGCCTGTCTTCCCCTCCAGCAGCAACACCAGGTCCAGAGGGAGGAGCCTACTAACCCTTCTCCTCAGCTGAGCCCCAACGAGGCTACTCCCGTGGTAGCGCTGGCACCAGGGCAGAGTACCACTGGTCTCTGCCCACGCAGCAACCCACCAATCCGGAGGGCTAGTACTCCCCAGACCCGTGGTGGAGCCACTGGACATGGACAAGCTACCCACTACCTCAGGTACAGGAACTTTCCATTGTGGGTGGGCTATACTACTGACTATGTTTTGTGGGTGGGTTGCTGGACTAACCAAGGCACTGACCGACAGGAGGCCAGATACCTTGTTATTCTTTTTGGGAAATGGGAGAAATGTGGCGAAACCAACCTTGCCACTGGGCATTGGAGAAGCCTGGTTGCCTGCCTCCTGCCTGCTGACTATGGCCCCTGGGAGATTTGGGCCTTTAACTACAGTATTTGGGCATATTGTATGTTATTATGCTGCTGCTGGCCCTTTAATGCCCAAAGAAAGGATTTTGTACTTTTAAACTGGCACTTCTGATGCAGTCGAAGTCGTCAAAGTGGCCGCCATTCGAATACCGAACACGTGGCGGCAGCCATTTTAACTAATTCGAACGGGGTCAGCAGTGTGTGCAGCCAAATCTATGGAACTATTTGCGGCTACCCAATTGCATGAACACCGCTGACCCATGCGGTCTACTCTACTTCGACACTGCAGCTGGAGACTAAGTCCCATTCAAATGGGACTTAGTCATTTTCTCGGTGTAAAATAGACCGACCACACAGCCCAAATGGAACTGTTTTGGGCATGAAAATGTGCTTGCAGTCGGTCAAAAGTGACTTATATGTATCTCCTGAACGGCTGAACGGATTCAAATGATTTTTGGGTATGTTTGTATTTGGAATGTGCTGATTATTAATATGTGACTTTTATTAATATTGTATGTATGGTTTTAGAGTTATGAAAGTTGGGTAAAAAGTGTGTTTTAAAATGTATGGATAATAGGGCTACCTCTCAGGCTAAGGGGAGGAGATGTGTGGGATGTAACCATTGTGTGATTGGGTATTGTGTAATTGTCTGTGGGCGTCTCCCTTGCATGGGAGAATTGCATAAAAGCAGAGTGTGTGTCATTAAAAGGCAGTTCTACTTCACCCTCAATTTGCAGTGCCATCTCTTATTGGGGGAATCTGCTACAAGGGATTGCTATGCTGTGCATACTCCCTTGCTAAATCACTCCTAAGCTCTTGTAAGAGCTTGTTCCTGTCCTGCTCTCTGAAGGAGTCCACGTGGTTATGGTGTCTGCTGCAGTGCTTGGAGTCCTCAGGAAGCGCTAAGAGCATCCTTCAATGGAGGTACCCAGTTGGGGTGCCGTTGATCCGTTACACAGCGTTACATTACTGATAATGTATCCCCCCCTGCTGTTTACTGATTAATGCTCTCTCTCTCCCTCTCCATGTTACACACACACTCTCCATGTTTCTCTCTCTCTCTCTCCCTCTCCATGTTACACACACACACACTCCATGTTTTTCTCTCTCTCTCTCTCTCTCTCTCTCTCTCTCTCTCTCTCTCTCTTATATATATATATATATGATATATTGATTTGGTTATTGGTTTAATCAGCTGATTAGTGACAGCATTACATTACTGATACTGTATCCTCCCTGCTACTCACTGATTAATAATCTCTCTCTCTCTCCCCATGTTACACTCTCTCTCTCTCTCTCCATGTTACACTCTCTCTCTCTCCATGTTACACACACACTCTCTCTCACTCACTCTCCATGTTACTCTCTCTCTCCATGTTACTCTCTCTCCATGTTACTCTCTCTCTCTTTCCCCATGTTACTCTCTCTCTCTCTCCATGTTATATATGATGTATTGATTTGGTTATTGGTTTAATCAGCTGATTAGTGACAGCATTACATTACTGATACTGTATCCTCCCTGCTGCTCACTGATTAATGATCTCTCTCTCTCTCTCTCTCTCTCTCCCCATGTTTCTCTCTCCATGTTACACTCTCTCTCTCCCTCTCCATGTTACACTCTCTCTCTCCCTCTCCATGTTACACTCTCTCTCTCCCCATGTTTCTCTCTCCATGTTACTCTCTCTCTCTCTCTCTCTCTCTCTTACTCTCTCTCTCTCTCCATGTTACTCTCTCTCTCTCTCTCTCTCCATGTTATATATATATGATGTACTGATTTGGTTATTGGTTTAATCAGCTGATTAGTGACAGCATTACATTACTGATACTGTATCCTCCCTGCTGCTCACTGATTAATGATTGACAGCATTACCAGGTCACATGATGCTCCCGGGGGCGGGGTCACTGACCTGTAACCAGTAATAACCCCAATAAACACAATGATCCCCGAAACCCCGAGCCTCACCCTCCGCTCCCAGCGGCTCAGCACGGTCTGCACGGCGCACACATATGACGTCAGTGAGGGCAATGAAACCGCCTAGGGAGGAGATCTGACACACCGGAAATGACGTCAGCGACCTCACCGCCGCCATGATGGATGTGGGCAAAGCTCCTATTAAACCTTATTAGTAGTATAGGCAATAGGCGGCCATTAGCGCTAAGATAGCAATATGGAGAGTGTTAATAATGTGATAAGGAGGAGATAATAGGAAATAGAGAGATATTGTTTATTATAATGAGCCTGGAGTGACACACCCGCCGCCATGATGGATGTGGGTAAAGCTCCTATTAATCCTTATTAGTAGTATGGGCAATAGGCGGCCATTAGCGCTAAGATAGCAATATGGAGAGTGTTAATAATGTGATAAGGAGGAGATAATAGGAAATA